TAGTCATTGCCTCTTATCCTATGTCCTTCTCCTAAGTTCCTTTCCCTGGGCTCAGTACATGGGCCTTCACCTTGAGCAGAGAACATTGCCATTGCAGGTGGGCCAAAGACTTCTCAGGATGCTCAGGTTCTGCATGGCAGACATGTCATTGCTGTTAGAAAACACCTGCTTCTGCCTGCCCATCAGCAGGTCATCAGTTCCTTCCTCCATTCTCATCAATGCCAAGACCACATTTTTGTAACAGCTCTACCCTGAGAAGAATACAATTTCAGAAAATTCAAAAACACTTATAAATGGAAATCTTGTCTTTCCTATAGAGTTTGGATTTTATTCTGGACTAAAAATTCCATGGAGGGATTCCTGCAAGAAAGTCACATAAAATGACAGGTGGTAGTGGGTACAATGGAGTAGAGTCAAGGAAATGGAATAAGTATGGAAACAGCAAGAAGTTGTTATAATAAGTCTGGTAAGAGATGTCAGATCCTTAATTATGTACCTATTATGTACCTAGACAATGATTACCAATAGCAGTTGAAATCATTGTATGCAAGGTTCTAGCAATCTTTGTGATGACTAGATTAACACAATAGTACAAAAGGACTCAAAATCTTATTATAAAAAGAGAAACAGCCATATACTACACATTTCCTTGTATGGCGTAGGAATCACCAACAAAACATGAAAAATTTCAATTCAAGCCTCTGTGTTTTCAAAAGATACAGAAATGGAGAAACAGTTTAAAGACACAGAGTAAATCCACAATGTAAAGCATTCTACAGAGCAGTGACCTAATTTGTTCAGCAAATAAATGGAAGCGAAAGTGAGTGGGGAAATTCTCCAAACTAAAGAACCAAGGAAAGTGTTGTCAACCAAATGCGGTGTGTGGTCTCACTTAGTTCTGGATATGAACTGAGTGTAACCGAATATTAAAAAAAAAGAAAAGAAAACCAAGGAAATGTAAACACTTACTGGAAATATGAACACGGTTTTCAGAAATTGTATTTTATTATGGTAAAGATTTTGGGTCTATGTGTTTGAAAATCTTTATTTGGACAAGAATATCCAAATGTTGGCAACTGGTGAAACTGAGTGACCAGTACATTTTGTTATATTTAAGTTCATCTGCAATAAAAAGTTTAAATGTTGGATGAAAGAAGTAATGAGAGAACATGAAGAGATGAATGATTTCAGCAATAGTTAGGAAGATAGGACGTAACAGCCAATCATCCGTAATGTACAGTGAAGATGGTTCCGAAATCTACGAATTGATGAGTAGAATCCTGAAAATGCTACTCAGGTGCAGAGAAAGTGCATGTGTAGAGACAGATTTAGAAGTGAGATGACAGGCTCAGTTTGGGGTTTGCTGAGTTTGAATACTCTTGGCTATATAAGCAGAGATGTTGAACTGAAGTATAAAACCACATATAAAGATTTAAAGAGGAAGTAGAGAGTGAGAAATCACATCCAAATGAACAGACAAAAACCTGTTAAGATTGGAGCTGACAAAAGGAGGAAAGACAAAATTAAGGGAGGAAAAACTGATCAGTAGTGTCGATGAAAGAAGAAAATGAGAGTTTCAGGAAAAACATCATCTCCAGTTTCAGCAAAAAGCATCATCTCCAGTTTTATAAAATAACTAGCAATTGATGCCAGTTCAGGACTGCCAGACAAGGCCATGAATGAATCCACTACTTCTTGTTCTTGGGATCCTAATTATCTCTCAGTACAACAGAGTAGGGAAAAGAACAGGAGGGAGTTTGCCCGTGGACGAACTGCTTCCACTTCTTCCTAAAGGTGGAAAGCAAATGGATAAGTCCAGTGCAATGGTGCACAACGGAGAACACGGCCCCAAACAAACATGGAGCACCCAAAGCCAGAAGGGAAGCATTCCTCCTTTCAGGACTGGAGATAGGCCAGGGAGGCAAGGCTAACACTCACCTGTCAGCGTGATGGGAGACATAACTTGGCAGATGCCTGAAAAAAGGGAGCATTTATTGACAATATGCCATGGCTTTCATAAATTTAGAAAATAAAGAGTGATCAGCCATTATTATCTGTTTTTAAAAAAGAAAAAAGTAGAGCTGGGCGCCGGTGGCTCATGCCTGTAATCCTAGCTACTCAGGAGGCTGAGATCTGAGGATCGAGGTTTAAAGCCAGCCCCGGCAGGAAACTCCATGAGACTCTTATCTCCAATAAACCATAGAAAACCAGAAGTGGCCCTGTGGCTCAAACAGTAGAGCACTTGCCTTGAGCTGAAGAGTGCAGGGACAGTGCCAAGTCCAGCTTCTTGCCATGACTACTACTTCCTCCTCCTCCTCCTCCTCCTCCTCCTCCCCCTTCCTCTCCGGTTCTCTGACACGCAGTTCATTATCCAATTCCTTATATTTAATTCACTTTTTTGTAACAATGAACAGCTCATTTCTGATAATACTTCTGGCCAAAAACCATCTCACTCAGTAAGAGCTTAGGTCTATAACAGAGCTCATGGGATACTATGGACTGGGCCTACGCTACCTCTTTGCTTCATTCCTGTCATTTTCTCAGTAGGCTCTGCTCTGTCATGCAGGCCTCTTTGCTAATCCTTGAACATACCAAGCATGCTTACCTCATTCCCTTTGGCTGGCTCTTCCTATGCTTACAGATAGCTGCGTGCACATGGCTTGTTGCTTGAGGAGGTGTGCCTAAAGATCCTCTCAGCAGACACCTGCCCGGACAAAGTCGATAAAATGTGATCTCCTTCACCCGTTCCCTCTTTCCCCATGATTCCTTAGTTCACCATCAGGCACATTCTGTATCAATTTGCCAATCTTTAGAACAAGTGTTTGTTTGCTCCCTTCTGTGTTCCTAGTCCTCAGAGCACACAGGTGCTAACTTTCAAAAGAAAGAATATCTATAGATAAAGTCACAGTTATCTATGTATCTATAGAAAATTTATAAAAGATCTATCTACTATATCTATACCTACTTTTCTGTCTCTATTATCTCCCTATTTTATCTATCTATCAGCTATCTATCCATCCATCTCCCCTTTGAATTGGCTCTCCTCTATGGGATTACACTGTAGTCCAAGTTCAGGAGACCTGAACCTAGGTACACTTTCAATTGTGCCTTCCCTTCTATTTAACAAAGATTTAGATGTAAACATTCCTTCCACTTTAAGCCTTCAAAAAGTGTCACATCAAACAAGGCCAGCCAGTCCGTAGCATTTATTGAGACGTTGACCACTGTAACCACACAAGATTGACCTAGACTCAGCTGGGGTGTAATTCCTAACTCCTACTGACATTCAGTTCACACCTATTAAAGTCTGATGGTTTTCCACAATGCACAAAGGAAAATCAATGTAACACATACATGCTTGCTAAATAAGATGCAGTGGTCAGAGGCCTCTCCAAAGGAGAATAATGGTTAGAGGAGATTGTGTTAAGCCAAGATTTAAAGAAAGAGGCAAAGATGGATGGGGATGGAGTAGGAAAGAAGAAAGAGTACTTACAAAAGCAAATGACATTTAAATGACAACTGACTTCATTAGCTACCTGCAGTTCATAAACTACAAAACTATGAATTTGACCTCTGATCTCTCTTTTGTTCCTTTAGGTACTTGATTCTATGCCCTCTCTTGAATGTATAGAAATCTATTCTGAACTAAAATACTTCTATACCTTGAATGGCAGGTGGAGTCACTTCATAAACTCTCATGTGATTTTCTCTAGAGACTTGCTTCAGTCACTTAATCTGAAGTGGAGGTGTTTTGTTACTCTCTACCTTGGCAAACCTTTAATGGTCATGATCATAATTTATCACATAAATTGATTTGTGACCTTCTCAGGTGTCTTCCTTATCAGATTAACTATCTGGAGACAGGGGATTGGTACCATTTTCCTTACTGTTTACAATTATTGCTCAGCACCATGACTAACACTATAATCTACTGAAATGGAATTCAATAGTACATATTCTGGGAAGGCCATATATATAAATGGTGTCAAAACCCCAAATAGCTTTATTTTAAACCTTTACCAAATTTGAATTGCCCTAAATTCTTTTACTTTTTAAAGCTGTCCTACTTTTAATGTATAGAAATATATAGCCATCTTACTATATATACACACGTTTACTCACATAAATAACTCCCATACATGGTGATATTTTTAGCTTTACCTAGGAGGTTAATTTCAACTTATATCAAACACTGCATCTTTGATCATTTGTTCATGAGGATCATTCATTCATTCACCCGAAGCCAGGCAAACAACTCTGCTTAGCTCCGGTGGGTGGGGTGGTACTGTAGGGCTTGTCTACAGTGAAATGAGTGCAGCAGTGACCTCTGGTGCAGTTCTATTCTCGCCAAAAGCCTGAAATTCGCTCCTCCAGAAGAGCCTGACCAGACTAGGGTCCCATCTTCTGACCCCTTCTGCAAGTCTGGCTAAGGATGATTTTCACATCCAAGCGAGGGGACAGCCCGGGTCCCCAGTGGCAGTCTCCAAGGGAAAGTCCCAGGGTTCATCCTAGAAAATGATCCAGCGCCCATTCTTGACTCCTAAGAAATTAGACTGTTGAGCTAGCTGCGTGTGCTTTCATGTTTCCTTTGCGGAAGTTGGTGTGCTGGGTAGCGCTGCTCTTCAGAAATTCTATCCATGGTGCTAGGTTCACGCGTGGGCCAAGGCTTTCACGAGGAAGGCAGGCTCACGACGAATGTGCACGTGCTGAAAGAGGATTTTACACCGATCTTTACTTGGGGAAAAGAACACAGCTGATTGGGGGGGTGACTAGTGGGGAACACTTCAGACTGGGTTCTGGGGGTCGCGAATCAGAGGCGACCATGTAAGTGGCTGGAGCCACTTGTGTTCGGCGGTAGCGTCCTCCGTGATTTACAGTGGAAGTGGCCCGGGCAGGAGGAGTTGTGGCCGGGGTCCGGGGCCCTGCGGCGACACAAACACCCCGGCAGGCAGTTCTTCCCAGATACTCTTTAAACACCAAATCCATCAATAGTAAATAAGAAGTAAAACCTCAGCAACGCGCCCGAGCCCGGGACCCGGGTCTGGAACGTGGGGGTGGGGAGGTGCCCGCGCCCGCACCCCGACCGTGCGCAGGGGGTCGGTGTCCCCCGCGGCGAGGCCGCTGCGCCCGGGGCTCGGACGGCCGCGGGGTGTGCGCTGGCACCGACTGCGCGGGCAGCTCCGGCGACCGGGCAGCACCTCCGTGCGCACACCCGGGCGATGCACCGCGGAAGCTGACGGCTCCCGGATTCTCCCAGCAGCCCCCCACCCTCCGGCAGGGGCAGGTGTCCGCGGGCGCGGCGGCCCCAGGGCGGAGGTGGGGTTCTCCAAGGAGGCGCCGGAATCCCGCAACCCTCCGGGAGACGGACTGTGGAGGGGGGACCTGCCACCCCGAACCCCCAGCGCCCTCCCAGCCCCGCACGCGCACGGTGGTGTTCGGGCAGCCCCACGCCGGCTCGCGCCGCACGGGGTCCGCCCGCAACCCGCCCCCCGGGCTGAGGACCAGGTCCTGGGGGACCCCTCCCTCCTCACCTCGGGCAACCCCGCTCTCCCCCGGTCTCCGGGCCGGGATCTCCAGATCTCCCCGTCCCGCCTCGGGCTTGGCCCGGCCGGGAGGGAGAGCCGGGCCGGGGACACCCCCGACGGGGCGCGAGGCGAGCGCCCCCGCCCTTCCCTCCTCCCACCTCCCTCCCCCCCAGCCCGGGCGGGGGCGCGCGGGAAGCGGTGACGTCACGGGGCGCGCGGTGGCGGCGCCTCCCCGCGCGCTGGTTAAAAAGAAGAAGAGAAGAGCGGACGAAACATGAGAGCCGCGCGCGGAGCCGCGCCGCCCGCCCAGGACCCCGCGGCGTCTCCCGCAGCATCTCCCGCGGTGCCTCGCGCGGTGTCTCCTCCAGCATCTCCCG